CAGTGGTTACCTTTTATTCATAACGCAATGTTGCGTGGTGTCTACCAAGTTCATGTGAGACACGTTCTTCTCGAAGTAAACTTACAGAACTAAAAAAAGTTTAATTCTGGACCGCTCCTCTTAAATAAAAAGAGTCAGCGAACTCTTCGTTAACCGGGCGGTTTTTTACTAAAATAATAAAAAATAGCGGATCAAAGGACAAGTCGACTATAATTTACGACTAAACGGGACATTATATATCCATAACTTATCGTTGGTATGTTGGCAATTCTAAATGGTTTGCGAGTATTGCATAAATACCACACCACTCAGTTGGGGAATGAAATAAGAGCAAAGCGATGAGAAATGGACTAGCAACGTTAACCCCGTGTTCGGTTTCACTGCTTTCAACCAGTTGTTTGTGTTCGTCAGTTTTACTTCCAATGTCTTTTCCCGGGGCATGTAATTAATCAATGTCGATGTCGTCGCTATTTTGGCTTTATGGAAGTGACACTTTCTTTCTTCTTTCAGGAATATTCGACTTTCGTCTCAGGGAATATGACCTCCATCCAAAGAAAATGATTCGATTCGAATACCCTACGTATAGCGCGGTGCATCATGGGACGAATGAGCAAGACTGATTAAGAACTTTCAAGAAAATCAAGACAGATATACATATGAAAATTGAATTTAAACATTCTAATAGACCAATTTTCATTCCCTCCAATGGCGATTACAAAAACGCAATAAACCATAATTGTTTAGTCTTTATAATCACGTGACTTCATAAAGTTTATGAAGATGCATTTTGACGATAATTGAAGGTCGTTTAGCTATTGAATTAAGCCTGGGAATACGTCATTACGTCACTATTGGAGGAAATCGCCCCAACTATTTACTATTCACTTCGAACTAGTAGCATTAACTCTTCATTTCACTTTGCAGAGTTCACTTTTAGACGCTGTGATGATATTGTATGGTCATGTCATTCATTGTCACATAAAGCATGAATATGACAGTAGCGTGGAGAGAGTCACACATAACAGAAAACATATACTATATTATTTTGACCCTATATTGGGGTGATTAACTGCGACTACGTACATACCAACGTGTGCCCGTTCTTTTCCATATTCCCGGAGAAGCGGATATCGATATCGTAGGAATACAAACCGGATACAACGTTCTAGATTTTCCCATTTCCCTGCCACTCCCGTTTTTACCGATCTAATGATAACATCGACTTGGAAAGAAAAACAAGACATCACCATTGGCACGTGGCCAAGGAACAGCACGTCATCGAAGGCAATTGTTTCCGTAATGACACAACCATGGTATATGTCCAGTGTTGCCATGGGGAACGAAGAGTCCAGTGTGTTGTACTTTAATATGATCCACTACATTATTATTTGTATCGATACACCCTTCAAATCGCCATGTACCGCGGCGTTCGATGTGAATGATACAGGAAGGGCATCCAAACACTCAAGATACAATCAGAGTATATTGTTACTACGACCATAAATTTGGTAAACTGCTCAACCTAAATGTTTTCCTTTGTCCAGTGTTTTTTTTTTCAGAACTATAGACACTTTTTCCGTGACTGAAACTACGTAAACGTGAAAATGCTGCAAGTTAGTTTATTGAAAAAAATATGTCACATTAAAGTGTCATGCGTGGTGAATTATTAAGTGAAAGTGAAAACACGAATAGATTTTTTTTTAAATTGAAACGCACATTCATCGTGGCACAGCTATCTTGACTTACTAATCAAACGTAACAGCGGAGCTATCGCTGTGCTTGAGATTTATGTCAACTATCACATAAGTTGAAATAGATACATAATATCATGTTATTGAAGTTATGGAAAATATGCACATGCCTGACGAAACGAGCTGAGTTAAAATGATGTATATTGCCTGACACTTGCAATCATCTTTCACTGCGTGAGAATCAAACCTCAAAATATGTTATAGACGTTCGCTGTTAGAACGCCAGTGGCAATGAACGTGTTTTAAGGCGAGCGTATGTGATGAGAGCGTCCGTGTTCGCTAAGGAAATCGAGTTGTGTTTCCCGTTTACACTCCCGCCGGCGGTAGATCAAAGTTGCGGCGCACATAAGAAGGTTATGCTATAAAAACCAAGTATTTTACAGCTGTATTCTCCGGGGACCTTTGCACGTATTTAGTTGCTGTGTTTTCTTCCCAATATTTTATCCCTGACAAGCCAGTGTGTACGGAAACCGTACCAAAAAGCATCAACGTGGTGGACATCATTAATTTTATTTATTTGATTTCTAAGTTGCTCGTGTTATGATATACTTTTGGCGAATAGTTAAGCATAGGATGAAAACAGGTAGTTGTGAGGGATCGGGCGTATTGGCCGAATAGTTGCAATAGAGTGTTTCCACACAAGCCAAACGTTTAATATCCAAATTGATACATAGACTGGGCGTGAATGGATATAACAAGAATCCTGTCCCACGCAGTTAGAAATTAACCACCACCATTCGAATGCCCTTTCATTTAGATGGTATTAGGTCGAATTACAACTTGGTGAAATCGACACGGTTGTTATGTGAAAATTGTTGAGTTGGTCTATATTGCTTATAAATATCGGCAACTGGTCACTATCCCCTATGTTTGCGATACACGTCTCGACTGTGAGTACATGGTATGTTTAATCTCGGTAAAACAACAATCGGGTTATTTGCGAATATTGATATATTAATGAACGTCGATATTCCCCCTTATTTCGATATTGGTTCTAACTTGTTCAGAGATCCAGACAGAATATTATGTTTCTGGTTATCGTGCGCATCAATTAAAAATGTGCGCGTCGCACCCTTTTTTGTAGTAGGTTTTTTGTTAGAACTTTAAACAAGCAGCCTATCGGCTGAGATAGCTCCGCTGTTAGCAATGCACATTTCAATTAAAGAACTGAAGACATCATTAGAAAATGAACAATATGTATAGTATCAAAGCAATCGGACTTACAGTTTTTAACAAGAAGTCGAAAATATCACTTTCTACCAAAAATGACCAAAATATTCACCAAAATTAGAGAATTGAAGATATCATCACGAAATGAACAAATCTAAGAAAGGTCTACATGTAGTATCTATATATGTAATATCAAAGCAATTGAACTTTTGGTTTTTAACAAGAAGTCGAAAATATCACTTTTTACCAAAAATTACAAAAATATTCACCAAAATTAGAGAATTGAAGATACCATCACAAAATGAACAAATCTGAGAGAGGTCCACATGTAGTACCTATATATGTAATATCAAAGCAATTGGACTTGTAGTTTTTAACAAGAAGTCGAAAATATCGCTTTTTACCAAAAATGAT